GCCATTTTTATTGCTCCACTATGACGTAGTGTCGGCCATCATTCTTTTCTAATTGTTGCTGTTGTCGGCCATCATTCTTTTCTAATTGTTGCTGTTGTCGGCCATCATTCTTTTTCAATTGTTGTCACATTGTTACTGATGTCGGCCATTATGGTTTTTTAATAGATATATAGTAATCAATGATTAAAATTCAAAGAAATTGTTTGTAAATAGGTATGCAACACATCGTACATTTCAGCATAAGAAATTACTAAAATTCATTTACGTAATAATATACTTTGCCCTGTGCTGACAGCAGTCATAATTTCTTTTATATATGTAATATTTAAGGAATACAAAGGATTCGATAAACTAAGAGAGGAAATAGAATCAGATGAAAAAAGTCCACAAAAACCAAAATTATCACCCAGGGCACCATCAGACAAAAAATTTGATCAATATCCAAAATACTCTGTCGAAACACTAAAATTACCAAACGAGAAAATTCCAGATGACGTAGATTTATCAAGAAAAGAGGTGAGAAAATTTTCTTTATATTAATCTTAAACATTTTGTTTAATAAACTTTTCTAGCTTCATTTGACCCATGATGATTTCGTTGAAATATTCAGAATGAATTACGATAATTTTTCATCGCTGCCAAAGTGGAAGCAACAAGAGTTAAAAAAGGGAGTTGGATTATTTTAAATGTAATTTTTACTTATTTATAACCGAAAAACACACACCTATATTTAACTTAAAAGTATTAACTACCTGTTAAGAATTATGAAGCAAAACAAACATGTTTTTTTTATAACTTCACAAAAAATATTTAATAAATAAAAACACATGCAAACACAACGGAATCCTTTTTATTTTATAGATAAAAAGAAATTATAAGTTAAAAACACCAAATAAACGACTGAATCCCTAAATGCCACATAAAAACTAGCTAAGGATAATGTCGAAACGCGTTTTAGGCTTTTAAAAGATTTTATATTGCATTTTAAGTTTTAGTGTTTTATTTAGATTAGTTTTAAAAGTCTCCATTTATCTTTCATTCATTAAAAAGACTAACAAATTATTTTAATGCTATATATAAACAATTATTTAATTCATTCAACCCTGCAAAACTTTTCAAGAAGTAAAACTTCATAAAGGTATGATGGCGTTAAATGAATAAAATAAGTATCGAAAACTTACATTTAAATTCATTTAGTAAAACATGTCAAAATTGAAATGCAGTAAACAATGAAAAGACCAATAAAAGGGTTTAAAAGGAATTTATTTGATTTAAAATTGGTGTATAAGTTGTAATTTGTATTGTTTGAGTAAGGCAAATCACTATAAAATCTACAAGTCGTAATTTTCTTGATAAATTGTAGCACGAAATCGGCAATAAATAAATTCTTATGTGAATGTACTCGATATATTAAGGCACAAACGTTTCTTTCCACTGATAAGTTACGGGCGACACACTTAAAACATATTAATTAATAAATCTGTACAATAATAATTATAAAAAGTAAGCATTTATGCTCTTGTAAAATCTATCGGAATGTAAACAAATAAATTATTATTACAAAAAATCAGGTATTTGCTGAGAACATTTTCGAAAATCGGCAACATGCAGAATTATACCGTGTGTTCCTTTCTACACACATATTTCTACACCGTCATTATTATATCACAATAAAAATGATCACAACAAACTAACCCTATCAAACTTAATTGTAAAAATATTGTTAATTTCAAGGTAATACAAAATCACTTCGAGCTCTTCAGTTAAAATGAGAATTCACCAAAATAAAAGATCCAATGCAACACTTAAATTTTTAAATCAAACAAAAACTAAATGAAAATAAATTAAGGAAAAGTATATAATAAACTTTATAATACAATACTACAATAATATGTTCGTGCCTACTTCAGACAAAAATAATTCATGTTCTGCTTAAATCTACTACACTCTCCCACAAGTTTTTTTGAAATGTGTTTTGTATTATTTTAAAAATTCTCTTTCTTTCTGAAGGCTCTCAGCTTTTAAACATACACTTACAGTTCAGGAAAACTGAGAAAAAGTTAATAAAACCCTTAGCTTGTAGCATTTTAAAATTACAAAATTATTAAATAAAAACTTTAAAAAACGACATTTTTACTTCCCGCAAATCGAATAATAGAAAAGACATAATAAATAATAAAAAAGACATCACAGCAAGTTTTATTCCCAATTTACCCGAGACTGTAAGTTATTTATTTTTGCACAGTATAATAATAAAGGACTACGATAACTCCACACATTTCCGAAATTGAAAAGGCTTGGACTGAAAGAGCACCAGTCTTTGAATTATTGCATGTTTCAATTTAGAAAAGGAATATTATTTAATAGAGTTTTGAAGAAAGGTTGTTGTTTAATGTCAAGTAATAAATTAATTAATATCATTTTTATGGTACTTTTTAAAAACGAGGTGCAAAAGAAATTTAGAAATAAATTTTTTGAATGCGAAAAAACGACTGCCGCCTCGTTCATAATATTAATATCACTCAAAAAAAAATCGCTACAAAAATTAAACCGCAAGTATTAACAAAAACAAATAATATAAAAACAGTATTATAGAATAAAGAGTTTGACGTTAGAGAAATATTACATATTTACAATAAAATTGTAGTTGTAGTAAACAATTTTCAAATCGAATTGGTAGTACATAATTATTTAAGTAAAACTACAGCAATAAATAAGATTTGTTTGGTAAAACTTACAACAGGTGGAAGATAGTAGGAAAGAAGTGAGCATATAGAGGTAAGTTAAGTAGTAAGCTTACAACTCGTAAAAAGTTAATTAACTACATTAAAACTTATCATTTATTGTTCATCGACGAGTTTGCAGGTAACGTTGCAGAACGTTGCTGAACACTTAAGTAAGGTTTCATGGACGATCTTGTCGACTCCCTAAAATAAAATAAATCTCATTCGAAATGCCAGTAATAAAGTTTTCATTACATACCATTGTATACCATTAGTAAATGCTTACTAACGATTCCAAATTCTACATTTCCAATCCACTTTTATTTTAAAAAGCCAAACAACTTACTTACTTACCCCCATCTTTAGAATAAATCAAAATTCTGTACAATGAAAAAAAGACCTCGATAGATTAAAATCTAAAAGCGTGCACTTACCTTAGACCAATAAAATGCATAAGCAAGAACCAAGCATTATAACGTACAAATGCAAAACTAACACTTAAAACCGAAGAGTGAACTAAATTAATAAAAAGCACCGCTTCTATTTCCAAAACTGCCTTTACTGTATATAGTATGTGTATATTTAAGAATATTATTTACATAGCCTGCATCTACATACAAGTAAGCAAAGGAAAGATTTGTTAAGATTAATCGAAATAAATAAAACAGCTTGTTCAATACGTTCCCAAAATTGTTCTTAAAAGCTTATATACTTTTTTGTTTTTTTCTTAATTTTCCTTATAAATACTAATACACGCCACAAAGGCATCGGTAAAAAAATAGAAACATCCTCTAAGATATACATGTATAAATATACGAGTTATAGTAAAATAATTACAAAAAGCAACCTAAAGTTCACTACTATTGGCTTAAATACAAAAAAAAAACTACAAATCACAGGGCTGTTGACTGTTTGTGTGGACAATAAGGAAGTCATACAGTAAAAGCCTCTAATTATACATGTGGAATGTTTTCACGAGTGTAATGTTGTTATTACTGGAATTTCTTTCACAAAAGGAACGATATATTAAGCAACAATGACGTAAAACAGGACATTTATAAACTGCAATGCTCTATAAATATTCTTTTGGAATAAAAAGAAAATTCCATCACTTCAAATTTTGGCAAAAAATGATATCAAACATTACACTACAATTTCTACAAAAAGCTGATGTTCTTTTTTTTATTTTCTAAATATAAATAATGAAAAACTCTGTTTACGTTTTAATCGACAGCAATTTTAAAACAGCTTCTTACTGTCGAACCAAGTATAATCCCACACGCTTTTTACGTTACAATCTAATAACCGTATCATTCCAGCTAAAATCAATTTCAAAATGTGCATATATCGTGCTTGTATTTAATGTATGCGTGCAATACTACGGGTTTAATCAGCCATCAGTACACGCGTAAACAAGCACTAAAAAGGTGTCTTTTCTTGTTGAAAATGTTTAAATTTAATTTCTTACCTTGGCGAAATTTTGGCTGTCGAATCGATTACGTTCGAATTGTTGGCTTTGTACCCGCACTTTTGTATTTTTCTACTGAGCCTAGCGACCCAGTTCTTCTGTTCTTCGACCGAACCGGCCAGTAACAGCAACTCTTTGGCATATGTGGGATCGTAGTGGCACTTGCATGGAGCCAGATAGTCCTCCTTACGGTCCAGGTGCTCCTTATGTATCTTCGTCCGACACCCTAATAAAAATTGAACTTTTATTCGACACACGAAAATATATAAACATAACAGCTAATAATCCAACTTCTTTCTCATGGACACTCTTAACTTAATTACTGTAGAGCAACTAACTTACTTCTGCATTCAAGGGCAGGCGGTGGCCTGAGCATGTGCCACATGGGCTTGGGACACACCTCACAAGTGGTAGGCATATGGAAGGAAATCTGGAGGAACTCGTGGCCCTTGTGCATTACCATACCAGGCTTATCATCCTTGTTCACTTCCAACTTATTTCCCTGATCGTCGGTTTTCCTAGCCTCGCCCTCGCCCGCATACAAAAGTTGGAATATTCGTGGAATATCTTTGGAATCGGCCCTAATAACGTCTCCTTGCGTCACAGAGCGCACGTGGAAAACTTTACTATAAAAAATTTACTTTTAATTTACGATTGAACTAATATGTATTTATAATAATCACTTACCACAAATCCAACACAATAACAGGATCTGTATTTTGTTTATCACTTTCTGAATTGTAGAAAATGATCTTTCTGCTTGAAACGACCACATACTGTCTTTTCCAGCCATGTCTTTTAATGTTCTGCTTGGTGGGTATCGACAGCCAACCCTCAAACATATCCGAGTTGAAGTCGTCACCTTCATTATCGACAGAACTGAGAGATGCCGTTTCACTATTCAATGATGCCAATTTCATTTGTAGCTGTTCAATTTCCGAATCTTTGCTATCTAATTCCATCTGCAATCTCTGCTTGGCCAAAGTTTCTTCATTAAGTTGCGCCTAGAAAGAAACAAAACAATACTATAGAACAATTGCAAAATCGTTTGAACTAACTTTATTTCATATTAAAATATACACAATAGCAACCTGTAGGTCTTGGATATTCTTTTGCCATGCGGCCGACATCTGGTTGAATTTCTCTTGCTCTTGCGTTATGACTTGCTGCAACTTCTTCAAATCCTTCTCCTTTCTTCTTAAATCGGCGCTGCTCACTTTATCTTTGCTCTTGCCTTTGCCTTCCCTAATATCTTTTCTATTAAGCACTTCGTGCAGCTTATTCACCGCTTGCTGTTTTAGTAGTGATTCTGTTTTCAACTTCACGTGTAACTTTTCCACCTCCTCACTATTATCGATCATTTTACTTAATTCCTCTTGAACCTATATGAAAAAAAGCAATAATGTAATATTTTCACGTTATATAATACATTTTACTCACCTGTTTAAGCTGACATGTTAGATCCTCCTTCTCTTTCATAAGTTGCTCGTTGACCTTTTTGAACTCAAGTTCACGTTCTTTCGCAGCAACAAGTTGGGCCTCTTTGGTGTTTAAATCGGCTCTATGTTTGGCCACAAGATCCTTCATTTCAAGCTCTTTCATTGTCCGGTCCTTTTCCAGATCAGCTATCGTTTCTTCGGCTATAGAACGAGCCAAGGCCTCGGAGTCGGCTCGGGCTAAAGCAATTTGGCACTGATGCTTCAAAGAAGCGCGTTCTTCTTCAAATTCTTTATTTATACGTGTTTTCTCTTCGAGCTCCTCTTTCAATTCGTTTGTTTGCGTTTTGTAAAGGGTGGAAAAGTATTGTTCAGTCTCAAGAGAGTCTTGCAATTCTTTCATTTGAAGCTGCTCTATCGACCATTCTCTTTTTATTTTATACAATTCATCTTCAATGTGCTTTTTTGCTTCCTAGAATGCAAAGAGATCATAATGCGTTAGTATATAAACGTGTCAATCAATTATAAAATGTATTTTAATTACCTGTAACTGAATAACTTCGTTTGCCAGCTGAGATTCTCTAGCTTTAAGCTGCGCAATTTCGGAAAGTTGTTGGCTTATTTCAGAATGAAGAACATTCTTCTTTTGTTGTTCTTGCTCAACTTGGCTCTGGAGGGCTTTAACTTTCTCGACTTCCTGTCTGTGTTCACCTTCAAGCTTTTGTAACCGCTGCTGTATCTGTCGATAATCGACAGAAAGCATCGATATTTGACGTTCTTTTTCCTGAGAATTCAAATCTGCTTTTTGTCGCGCACTTTTCTCTTCATTCAATTTCATCTGTAGTGCTAAAAAAAATGATTAACATTGTTGTTGCAATAAACTCGAATTGTTATTGTGATATATATAAAAATTGTTACCTTTTACAACTTCCAAATTTGCTTCTTCCTTGTTAAGCATGCGACTTCTTTCAGTTTCTTCATGCGCTCTTACTTCCTGCTGATATCTATTTTGAGCAGCTTTGAGTTCGAGTTCCAAACTGGCACATTCTTTTTCTAATGCCGAAATCTTTTCACAAAGCTGGGAGTTATCTGTTACCATCTTCGCTTCCCGTTGCCTATTTTGTTCTAACTCATTGAGCAAAGTTTGGATTTTATTTTCCAAAACGATTTGTTGGTCTGATGCCTGAGTTCTTGAGCTTTTTTCTTGTGTTAATTGACCTTGTAAAGAGGCAACCTGTAAGAAATTAAATATATGAACCAATCAATATTTAACAAAAGAAAACCGAAAATATAGCTATATTTGTTAGTATGATGTTGAGTATTTTTTAAAACACACCTCTGCCTGAAAAGCATCCCGTTGTAACTGCACCGTTTGTAAGAGTGTCTGATATTCTCCAGCCTTTTGTTCGGATGTCGATTTAGCCATAGTGAGTTCAGCTGCTTGTTTCCTTAATCGTTGACAACTTTCCGTTTCCACTTTGAGTTTTTCTTGCAACTCGCCAATTTGCTTTTCAAGCACATTAATTTTATCGTTGTGCTGTTGGTTGTTGTTCATTTCGCGTGTTCTTTTACTTTGCTCTTCTTCCAGACGCTTTTTTAGGTCCGATAAAAGTTTCTCCGTTTTTCGCCTGAGTTCACTTTCATTTTCTGCTTTTCGTTGTACTTCCTTGTATGTATGCCGCAATATTGTGAGCTCTTTCTCATATTTAGATGCTTCATCACGAAGTTCATTTTCACGTTGAGCCAAATTGTCCAACTGAGTGATCAAAATGCGCTGCTTTTGTTCCAAAGACTCCACGTTATTACGCTCTTGTTCCAGGAGTTTTTCGAGTTTCGATACTTGAGAAATAGAAATGACGGAGTTGGTAGGACGTGGAGAATCTGTACTATCAGAACGACTTGACAACAGTTGATAATCTGAGTTGTATGTAAAACCTGCATAAAAATAAAATAAAAATGAATACCCAAGACAGCTTTTTTATAAACAAACTAACTTGACTGACTTAACTTGTGACTTTGTTGCAAACTACTAAACTACTATTACACATTTCACACCACATAGCAAACTATTATAAAATGACATAAACAAAATTAATTAACACCAATTAAATGGATTTCAATATAAAAAAATTTTTTTATTTCACCTATAAATGGCAGATTATTTCCAACGAAGCTAGTTGGCACAGGAAAGACCTCTTCAGGAGATTCATCCTTTTCATAGTCATCAAAGTTACTAGTGTCATCATCACCTGTAAGTTCTGGTACAACAGGAGGTGCGGATTCGCGCAGATTTTCAAAGGTCCACTGATCATTGATGAAAAACGGATGATTTTTAATTTCGTCTACACTGTTTCTACCTAAACGTTTCGTTCTATCACAGAGCAAACCTTGTATGAGCGACATTGCCGCGGGAGATATTTCCTCCTCCGATGGAAAAGTCAAATTGTTTTCATGGTACATAATTTTATTGTAAGTTCCCAGCAAACTATCAGCATAAAAAGGTGTTTCTCCATAAAGCATTTCATAAACGAAAATGCCCACAGACCACCAATCACATTCTCTACCATATACACCTTGGCCATGACTTTGAAGCACCTGGGGAACAATATAACTTCATTAAAAAATGAATTGTAAAAAATGCATGTATCTTTACCTCTGGTGATATGTAATCAGGAGTTCCCACAACACTATTTGATCTTACTAAGCCATCAGTATCCATTCTCATGCAAGTTCCAAAATCAGCCAATTTTAAGTGGCCATGTTTGTCTAGCAACATGTTATCAGGTTTTACATCTCTATGTACAAATCCCATTTGATGAATGACATCTAAAGCAAGAACTACCTCCATGGTATAAAATTTGGCCCATTTTTCAGGTATCTCATATTTTGACATTAAATTAACTATATCACCACCAGGCATGTAATCCATTACCATGTAAAGATGTTTAGAATCTTGAAAGGCAAAATGCAGCTGCACTATCCATTCTGACCTTGCATGGGCCATTATATGTCGTTCTTCCCAAAAGAAAGCAGAATCCGAACGTTTGATCAAGTCAGCTTTACTTAGACGCTTCATTGCATACACCTGGTTGGTTGATTTATGACGAACAAGCTGAACTTTTCCAAATGCCCCTCGACCTATCACTTTTATATGTTCAAAATCATCAGTTTTCATTCGTAAATTTACTATATTGCTAGCAAAATTATCATCTGAAATAGAATTTATAATAAAAAAATTATTTATAAAAAGCAGAATGTAAAAATTAAGTGCAATAAAAAAAATAAAGGGATCTTTTTTGTTATTGGCATGATATTTCCATAAAATGATTAAACATCAAGTACCTATTGTAAATTGAATTTGTAATCCACTTTTATGACCTTTTCTTAAAATTAATCTTATAACAAAGTAGAAATGATTCAGAGATAAGGATAACCATAAAAATAACTCACACAAAAGCTATCCAAATTATAAGCATAAATTAGAAAATAAATCAGTAAAAAACACTTATACAAATAAACAAATAAAGATACAATAAATAAAGTGAAACACTTACATCGATTAATGTAAACTTCAACATTTTTAATTTTTTTAATGGCAGGATGATCGCAATCACTATAAAGAGCCTGAACAGTATCCAGGAGGCAATCCACATTGCTGATACTTTTAGGATCCTGAATTTTTTCTTCAAGCATCCGAAGTCTACGTTTTCGATCCTCATCCTTTATCTTATCCATTTTGTTTATAATCATAAAAACAACTTGAGCAAACACCAAAAACTATACATTAAATATAGAACTGTTTGTCCAATGATTCCAACTCCTATAAACATTCGGTTAAATACATTTTCTACATCTTTATTAAGGGAAGTTGCTTTTTAACAGCACTGGATAGAAAAAATATTATTTACTTAAGAACGGCAAAACGATAACATAAGCTGAACTTTGTACGGTAGTACTAAATGTGGACAATACCTTTTCATATCAGCAATTGGAAGACTTCTGCTTTCGTATAAATCACAGTAAAAACAATTAAATTTTTAATATTTCCACAAAATGATTACAAAACTCAAGTACCATTTTTGGCTGCATGCAGCCATTTTACTACCTTATTCTTTTTATCTCATAGTACTTTTCAAAACCGTTACAAAGTATACCATAAAAATTAAGATTACATTGCAGCTATCTCGAGCTGCTAAAATTTAATGACAAAACTGCAAACTTATTTCAAATTTTTAGCAATAACTTATATTTTCTTAAATAAATAAATGAATTTTTCAAATAAACTGCAATTACTTTTATTGTATTATGTTGGTATTAATAATTACTTCATGGTTACTTTTAACATTATAAAGTTTATCCAGTGTAATCGAAACGTCAGATCGTGTTATTAAGGTTATGCTAATGTTTTAAAAACAAGCGTGTTTAAGAAAAAATATTAGACATTATTATTCATATACATCAGAATTATTTCATTTAGTAAAGCAAACGTAATTATGTGCGTATTTAAAAATTGTGATGGATTCGAAATACAACTTTTCCACTAAACCTATTCTCAAAAGAAAGCCGGAACCCATTGTTTTTAATATAAAGAATGACAACTCAAAGAAAATCAAATTCGAAGACAAATCTAATTCATTACTTAATAAACATGGTTCGAATGAAAGGAGAGGTAAATTATCATTGCAGGAACAAAAACGACGTTTACCAATTTTTGACAAAAGAAACCAATTACTCAATCTCATCACAAGGTACAATACTCTTGTAATAATTGGTGAAACAGGATGTGGGAAGACAACGCAAATACCTCAGTATATCTTCTCAGCAAGACTACAGGGAAATGGCAAAATTGCTGTCACTCAACCACGAAGAGTGGCTGCTATTAGTATTGCTTTGCGAGTGGCTCAAGAAATGGCAAATGGGGTAACTATTTGTTTTATTTGAAAGAAATAATTTGTAATGTATTTTGTATCTTACAGTCAGTTGGAGATACAGTAGGATATTCAGTGAGATTTGAAGATGTTACCTCAAAAAAGACAAAAATAAAATTTCTTACAGATGGTATGCTTCTAAGAGAAGCTATTTCTGACAATCTTTTAATGAACTATACAGTTATAATTCTGGATGAAGCTCATGAAAGGACCATTCACACAGATGTTTTATTTGGAATTGTAAAACAAGCCCAAAAGTTAAGAAATGATAAACAAGTTATGCCCCTCAAAGTAAATATTGTGTATAATATCAAATCACACAAATGAAATTTGCTATTTGTTAGGTTTTAATAATGTCAGCTACCATGGATGTTGATCACTTTAGCCAGTATTTTAATCACTGTAAAGCTGTATACATTGAAGGGAGAACTTACCCTGTAAATATTTATCACTCAATCAAACCGCAGGATGATTATCAGACAGCCTGTGTTGCCACCTTTTTCAAAATACATAAACAAGCACCTCCAAAGTAAGCTGTCTTTGTACATATGATAAATATCAATAGTGTTATAATTATTTTTTGTTTTAGTCATGATGTACTAATATTTTTAACTGGTCAAGATGAAATTGAAGCTGTTTGTTATCATATTCGTACCCTTTTGCGCGAGCCTGACGTGGAAGGACCGCCGGCAAGAGTATTTCCACTTTATGCAGCTCAAAGTAGTGCACAGCAAATGCAAGTGTTTCAGTCGGTTCCTATAAATACCAGAAAAGTAATTGTCAGCACTAACGTGGCAGAAACTAGCGTTACTATAACCGGAGTAAAATATGTAATCGACAGTGGAATGGTTAAAGTCAGGTAAAAAGAATTTACTAATTAAATATCCTGTACCAAATTTTCAAAGCTAGAGTGATATTCAAACATAAAATATAAAACTGTGGTAAAAATCAAATAAAAAGAAATTCAAACCTATTTACCACAAAACAAACTATAACATTTAGTACTTAATTTATTATTAATCATTTGTTTTGTCAGGCTCGAATTAATTTATCTAAGTAATGCGTTTTTGTGCTTGCCTTGTATAGATCCTACAATCCTGCAACAGGTTTTGAAGTCTTGAAAGTAAATAGGATATCTCAAGAGCAAGCCTGGCAAAGATCCGGTAGATCAGGTAGAGAATCTGAAGGTTTTTGTTACCGATTATACACCAAAAATCAGTTCGACTCGATGTGTTTAAGTACTGTTCCCGAAATTCAAAGAGTCAACTTGGCAAACGTAGCTCTTCAGCTTCTTGCGCTCGGCATTCATATTTTAAACTTCGATTTCATGGATAAGCCATCTCCAGAATCGATAACTTCTGCATTTGAACAACTTAAACAACTACAAGCGGTTGAGGAAATTTTCTCTAAACGTCTTACGCCATTAGGATCGAAAATGGCCCAATTTCCTTTGGATCCCCGTTTTAGTAAAATCTTGATTTCCTCGCAAGAATATGGATGTGTTGAAGAAGCTTTGACCATAATAGCAATGCTTAGTGGCGAATCTATTTTGTTCAATCCTCCAAGTAAAAGAGAAGAGGCGCAAATGATGAGACAACGATTTTCGTCAGCCTATGGAGATTTGATTATGCTATTGAACGTGTTTAGAGAGTTCAATAAAATTGGGCAAAGCAATATTCGATCTTGGTGCCAAGAACATTATATAAATTTGCGTAATATAGTTTACGCTAAACAAATTAGGTTGCAGTTGCAAGAACTGTGCGAATGGTGCCATATTCCCATATCTTCTTGTGAAGGAAAGCTAGATCAGATAAGGAAATGTATGCTTACTGGACTATTTATGAATGTTGCCGAATTACATAGAGACAGGCAATATATTATGGTAAGCTACATATGTTAGTTTAATAAAAAAAATGTCATTATTGTTTAACTTGATAAAGTTTAATCAAGAATAAATTATAATTATTCTAATTTTCATAAACAACTATGTCATTAAAATATTACTTAGAAATGTTAGATAGCTTCTATGTAATTGTATTATTGCTAGTAAATTATCTTATTTTCAGTTGTCAAACAAACAAGTGGTAAATATTCACCCCAGTTCAGTATTGCATGGTCAACAGCCTGCCTGTGTTATTTTTACTGAAGTGATACAGACCAGTAAGTGTTACTTAAGAAACTTACTTACAATTGAAAAAGATTGGCTGAATGAAATTGTGCCTGGTTATGCTAAGTGTTAATTATTTATTACTTTATAATATTTCATATTATAAAGCAATTAAATAACTAAAAAATAGCAATTCCTTGTATATACATTTATTTTTTTGCAATAAATGCTTGTAAGAAATTTTGACGTTCATTTTTTCACAAATAATAAGTAGTAACTAATATTATTATATTGAAAGCAAAAAAGCAGATTAAATGGTGAGAATCCATAGCTTAAGAAAAATTAAATGAAAAATGAAACGAGTGCAACTAAAATTCCAGATACCCTTATAAAGTTAAGGTATACCTAGCTTTTTGAATAGTTCGCTGTATTTTTCGAAAAATTCTCGTAATTCTTTAATAAGCGCAAAATACCTCAAACAACTCTTTTTTTGAGAATCTAGAAAACACATGAATGTTGATAAAATGAAAAAAATATTGATGAAAACATTAAGTAAACATATATGTGCTAAATTTAAAAAGGATAGTTGTATTTTTACACTCGTTTCATTTTTCGCCAATTTTCAAGGTATTTTTCTTAGTTGTGGACATTCCTCTTACCAGAAACAAGAAAAGCACTTACCTATTAAAGCAGGCCATATTGTATGGAATAAACGTCTATTGACACTATAAAACGTCGAATTGCATTCCTTTTTTTCAGAATTATATTTTAATTTTAACTACATGATTATGATAGATCTTACATCCAGTACATGAAGCAATTTTGGTAAAAATATCTGTAAAATAAGTGGATATGAAATATTATGCTTTATGTTGCTTCATTGACAATGTATTTATTTATGTACCTTTCTCTCATTGTGTTGTGATGGTGTTCCAATAACGCAATATATTGCACCTTTTTCATAACAGAAAGTGCAATTTAAAAATATGCAAACGTTTTATTATCATTTTATCTTACTGGCAGTTTACTCGCACACACACTCACACTTAATATTAATTAATATGTATAAACATGCAGGCATACAAAATTGTAATTTGAAATATTACAAAAATTGCACGGCAGATATTTTAAAAACTCATTTACCTTACATTCCATTTTATAAATTAATATTTGAACACAAATTTGGTTTCGAAAACTCAACTTAAAAAATTGTTTTTCCATTTTTAAAGCACACTGTAACCTACAATTACGCAACTAGTATCATATTTACATCGGCCATTTAATTATAGAATGTATGATAAAAACATATTTAGGGTTTACTCAGTGAAATTATGGGGGTGTCCCCCATAACACTGTTAACCCTTGTCTATTAAATTATTTAAACAGTCTTTCCGAGTGAGATAATAATATACACTATTTACAATGTTACATAATTTAAACCATTATTTTATTCCCATTCACATTCAATATTCATTGTTGTGGCTGTTGCTTGTCTATTCTCATGTCGTCGATTTTTGCGACTATCTTAAGTGCAGGTCCTAATTTCATTGCCATCGCCGTCATCAAATGGTCCTCCTTCAACAGCATGAGGGCTTGACCGTCAATTTCTTGAATCAAAAAGTCCTCTGCATAGTCACAACATCCTGGTAAATTACGAATAAACTCGCACACTTCTGCCACCTTTAAAGTAAAGTAACAAAAATCAGCAAACTCAAAAGAAATTTTTTCAGTATCGTTAATCAAGAAAATCAATTTATTATTTGGTTTAACTGATTTAGTATTTGTGAATTACTCACAGTCCATTTAAGTGGATTAATTTTAGGGCCATCGTCTCCATTTTCCGTGGAAGCTGCTGGTTCACTTGAGCTGAGATTGCTCTCACCACCTGATGTTCCCGATTCACCATCAACTTCCATCCCCTCATCTTTACCCCATTTGCTTTTCAGATCATCCAACTTCTTCTCCCTAAAAAGGCGATTAAAAGACCAATTACATATTATCCTTTTTATATGGTGGTAAACTTACTTTTTAGAACAAGCTACAGAACAAAACCGTTTGTTCTTCTTAAATTTTGCTCTCAGATCTACGGTGCCGCAGGCCTCGCATTTGGCCAGCTCACCCTTCGGTGAATTTCCTACAACATTGCTGTTAGGTGATAGAGCACGTTTTTTACCTAAAACAGTACATCATTAATGCTTAGATAACAACTACTAATGTTTCACTTCACTTTGCAAATTAAAATTCATATATCAAATAAATGCATTCCATATTTCAAAAAATTGTAAGGCTTACTATTTTTTAAAAGAGAACTATATAGAAAGATCAACTTACGAGATGGTTCGTCAGAATCCTTGTCAACAGACGATTGTGTGGGTTTTAGTTCACCCAAGAGGACACTTCTCATTACTGGGAATGGTTCTGAAGATTCCTGTATCACAAAATCTTCAATGACATGCGTTAACACTTGAGGTTTTACCATTGCTTTGGGAGGACAGCGCTCTTTAACTTCTTCTGCAGTAGCAGCGATTGGAAGACCATTCTCGGGAGTGCTTGTTGTAGGTTGAGAAGGGACCGTACCGGGAATTGGTGTAGGCTGGATAGGAGTAGCAGATGTTGGTGTTGGAGGTCGGTCGATAATATTTATTAACGGTTTAATTTCAGGAATTTGAATAGTATCCTTGTCAATTTGACTATTTGAAACTGAAAAGTAATAATGTAAACATAAACATGCATAATAAACATACATTTTATAGAACTATTTATGAATGATCAACCATCAGGAATACGATTAATTAATTAACAATTAACTGAGTATTTAATTAGAAATAACAAGGTGGTAGATTATAGTTGTCAAATCCGAAAAGTCATTCTTTAAGACGGACAGTGGGAAGTAGCCTTAAAATATATATTGTATTTGCTCTTACCTTCTGTGGTATTGTCTTTACTATGTGCTTCGTCAGAAGGATCTGCATGAGTTGTGGACGGTAAAGAGTTGTTTTCGTTGTTTTCCGAATTCGCGTCTTCTTTTTTCAAGGGCGGTACCGATGGCGGTAAAGGCACATGTTGCGGGGCAGGAATAGTAAGCGTTTGTTGCTGATTACTCTGCTGAATTTGTTGTATTTGCGTAGGAGCCACCTGAGATATCGTTGCTGTAGCACTTGCAGGGGCTGTTTGGATTTGTCCAATTATGGTCCCAGCTGGTGCCATTTGAGCCAGTTGCTGAAAAAAAGTCTAAATAAATAATCTTAAACATATTATATATTTAATTGAAATTTACAAAATTTATTTTGATTTGATTCGCATAAAAATTCCTAACTAATTAAATGTAATGGATATTAATCACAAGTACCTTTAAAGTTGTAATATCAATTACTAATCACATCATATTAACATATAACTTACAGATTCTGAGCAAAATGCACAGTTATAATTACTTGAAGTTCTATTAATAATTCTACATTTTCGGTTTCTCATTTTTATTTAATTTTTGTCACTTTTTCAACTGTTTTAAGAAATACATTATCTTCTTTCGTATCAAGAATGCTGAGAATATTTATTTATTATATTTTAAATTTCAATAAGTTTTATAAGTATTAAAGGCCATAATCATTTCTCTTTTTTATTCGAGAAAGTTTATTCTCCAAAAATTATGACAGAACCAGACACTAATTTGCTTATTCCTTAGGTATTTAATTTAAAAACAGCACTTTAAAGGTTAAATCAGCAAGTTCAACGAACCAATTAAAAATCTTTTCAATACGATACATTCATATTTTTACTATTATTTCATTGGGTTAGAAATAATCCAAATCAATAAAAAACGTAGAAAATAATTTAAAAACAGTACATTTTAAATAAATCAATCTCTTATCGAGTATTAACATTTCATGAACATCATAGTGACGATAACAACATTTCGTTACACTTTTTAATATTATAGCACTGGTAAGAATCAAAACAGACAATCTTCTAAATTAACAATTTTTTTTATGAAAAAGCTTACCGGATGTATCTGTTGCATACTCATAGGCATGGCTTGTTGGGTAACCGCGAGGTTAGGCTGCAGAGGTATCGTTTGGGGCACAGCATTGGGCAAAGCCTGTTGAATTGTCTGTTGCATTTGCTGATTGTTTGCTTGCGCTGCAGCCATTGAAACTACCGGCATGATCGGTCTATCGCCAACAATTTGCTGCTGTTGAATTCCTTGAATAGTTTGCATTGCTATAAAACAAAAAAAGTTTTACCATTTTCATAATTTAATCAAAAATATATAACAAATGGTCACAAACGTTCAAGTTTTATGAAAGTTACAAATTCACAGCAAATAAAAATTATAACATATTAGTTTTACTGAAAATGCCAGGGTTGATCAATCAATATAAAAATTACTTCAGCTTGTGCCTAAATTGTTTAGTGGCTGCATTAGTAAAAAAATAACTAAATATCGAAATAAACAGTTTGCAATTGAAAATATCATAAAAAGTCAATCCACTTTAAAGGGTCTATGCCACTTTATAATTGCAGATAGTAAGAAGTTTCTGTCAAATTTTCAGTGAAAAATCAAATATGTCCTACAATTTTTAAACCATTTCAGAAATTTTTCATTTGTGAAATTGTGACTTTCTCCAAATTCAACATTAGTTTGAAACTCTACTTACTCATCATGGGTTTCGGTTGAATATGTTGCGGTTGTTGAGCCTGTTGTTGAATCTGAAACTGTTGCATGGCAGCTTGCTGTTGTTGCATTTGCTGCTGAATAAGGACTTGCTGTTGTTGTTGTTGTTGAACTTGCTGTTGAGCCTGTTGCTGAGCTTGCTGTTGCTGTTGCTGCTGTTGAGCTTGCTGTTGTTTGGTTTGGTTAGCCATTTGTTGCTGTTTATCTTGATTCATAGGAGAGTTGGGTGTCATTGTCATGCCTGTCGAAGTGTTCATCACTAACATTCTGCAAAGTAAAAAACGAAATTACTTTAACGTTGCCCAAAATATAAGTTACTTTGAATCATTAACTATTATATTATTGTTTGATATACGTGGATTTATTAAAGTATTCTTTTATTTTCAAAAAATTAACGTAGGAAGAGAGTGATTTATAATGTAAACAAACGTATTGTTAAAATGGCATAAAAACTTTAACGAAAATAATCGACTTTTGAAGGTCTTTTTATATTTTATAATTTTACCAAGGTGAAATCGCAAAACAAAATTCAAAATTATCAGTATCCCAGTACTAAATAAAAAGGCTAAGGCTTTCACCGCTGTCGTTATCTGAAGAGCGCAAAGATATTCGGGCTTGATGATCGTGATCTAGGACAAATTCTAATCCTTCGGGAAGTCCAGCAGTGGAGTTGTTTATCCGAGGTATCGTTAGATGCTGTGGTTGGCATCTCAGGGAATGTAGCGAAGGCATAGTGGACTTTACGCTCTGTCTCTACGTTTCCCAATAATGTCAACTGAAGCATTTAACAAGACGTCAGATAAACAACTCCACCTGTGAATTTAACGAACGCAGTACAGTCTGTTATACATCCAAGATACATCACGAATTTCTTTTTAATTCAAAATGGATATACGAAGAACAAAAACATTAATTTGTAAATGATAAATGAAAAAAGTAAAAAACTGTTATAATAGCATTGTTGACGATTTCTATTAGAGATTCATTTATAAACAACCTAACTACAAAAAATTGAATTAAAACTACAATTCCTATTAATATTTCGTATATTAAAATTTAATAAGTAATAAACTTTATTTTATCTGTGGTATTTGGTTATTGTATTAAAACCCGAAGAAAATATAATTAAAACAAATTATTAGCCAAACGTTTGTTTCATTGAATGATAAAATTGCCATTTCACATTAATTCTTTTATGATAGCGCGATTTAGATTTATTCCTATGAGTAGATACTTTTAGTTATAAAAATAAAAATTAATTCACCTTTCGTTATTAACGCACAAATACCACGTTTTGTCTTTCTGTTCTTGTCTAAAACAATAAAAAAGAAAATGAGATTTTTTACCTGCAAATCGAGACACATATTTAGGATTATTAACAAAGACTCACTTGTTCGTCGAAACCAAGTGATGAGGCTGAAGATTCGAGTACGGTTTTATTTGGGTTTGATTGGCCGCATCTGCTTTTGGCGCGGGTGACGTCCGAATTCCTGGAGCTTTCGCCCTCACTTTATTTCCTGGTTTTGCCCCCATTCCAACCTTGAAGGAAAAATAAATAATCATCATTTTGAAAATATTCATCCGTTCTAACTACTGATTATTTTCTTCTGCTTTTTGAGTGATACGTAATAGCAAAAAGAAAACAAAAGTGATACAAACCTGGGTTTGGGCTGCGATGGTTTGGGTTGATACCGAACTTGCGGGCCGTATGTTAGCAGCATTTGATGGTAGAATATTTAATGGTCTACTAGTTGGTTGTTTTGGTTGAATATTCTCGTTTGCTGGCCTGGGTTTGCCCATTTGTTGCATTGTGTTCTGGGTTAAAGCAGCTATAAAATAAATTTACTATTTAACAACAATATTCTTATGAAAACGATTGGGTTTACTAAAGTAATGTAAAAGTAAATTGTTATTATTATTATAAATAATTTAGTAACTGAAAATAAAAAGAAATTTAATAAAAAATCATTGTCGCAAAACAATGATGAATCTCGTTTTAAGGAATTGTATATTGACATTCAGTTGAATAAAAAGAAATTATCGCAATTAAAAATATAAAACCAAAATATGTTTTCATAAGCTATTCCATATTTTTNTATATATATCTAAAATTAGCATTAATCTTAATCTTTTTAACAGAAAAACTCTGTAGGAAGGGGAACGATGTGATAACTTTTCACTTCACATTACCACACAGAGATCTTCCTAATAATTTTGGGAAACAAAAAAATTATAGTAAAGACTTTTTGCATATTACAAAATGCGAAAAGATTACTTGTTTCCCAATAAAAACTATAACAAACTAGTAGATGTAATGTAACAATTTATTACAATTTATAGTAACTGCCTTTTTCCTTTTCATTTTTTAAACAGCAGTAAAAAAGCGGATGATAATTTTATTTCTTCAATTTAAATCTATAAATTAAAAATTGATGGCGTAGATTGTAGAGATCTATAAATACAGCCTCCGAGACCTGGGTCCAAAATTTTCATTCTATGTCTACCTTTCCCCTTTGATAAATGACTTCTACTGGAATGGCATTTCACTAGTATATTTTAATAAGGTTTAATCTAAGAAAACTTAAACTTAATTGACAATAATTTGAAACTTTCTCAGCGAAAGTCTAAAAGGTTCTTGAAAGTGGGGTAAATTAGACGCTCAAATACAATGAGTATATACGTGCTTTATTATATGTTGCTTAAGCACGTTTCAATGAAGTAAGTTACATAAACATTTACGGAGAATAATTTGAGTTAAAGAAACATTGAACTTACGGTTTTGTTGCGCTTGTATCGCAGTGGCTTGCGGGCTCTGTTGAATAAACATTCCGGGCCCCGGAGTTCCATCCGGCTGTGTGCCTCTTATAAAAATCGGATTAGACGTCAACAGGGCTTGACTTTGAAGTCCATTAGTGGTCCACACTTGAGGTGTAAACTGCCACGGAGTAGCAAACTGCATAGGTTGACCACCCGGCTACATAAAAACACATTTTTTCATTAACATCATATTTCTTTAGTTATGGTAAAATAAATAATTACGCATATGAAAAGAACTACCCTCGTTTCTAAGACGATACAAATTGTGTATTATTTAACCCAAGATGAAATAAAACACCTGATATGTGCGAATTGAACATTAATTTTAAGTGTAACGGTCTAAAGAAAAAGATTTATAAATTCATAAAACGGACCTTTAGGTTATAGGGATGATAAAAGAATAATCATTTGTACAAAACAACCCTCTTTTAGCAGAAATAAAATTTCATAACCTTAAATAGAAAGCCGACAACGTTCTCTTTAAATTGAAAATAATCGTTTCATCATTAATATCTCCAGTAAATAAATACAGCATAATTTTACAAGTTTTCAACAATTTTTTAAAGAACTTACTTGTTTTGAAACCTATTCGAACATTTATTCCGAATAAAACAATGTAATCTTAACGAATAAAATAATAACTACGACTTTACGGAGTTATAACCTAAAATTTAATGCAACGAAGTACACCCTCCTATAGCATCATGGGTGACTAACTTGAGAATGCAAGTGTAATTATTATAAACAGGCCGATGCACCTGATTGGCTGTTATGCCGGCGACCATTTTGTTTATTGACTAAAACTAGGTCAAGTTCGCTGCATACGTCCTTGACGGGTCAGGAAGTAAACAAATGTAGGTGCCACTTATATAAAAATTATAGTACAGAATACTTAAAAAGGATTAACTCCGTTATTTCTGAACCGATTTAGATGCGGTTTTTGACAAAATTTAGGAAATTTAACACTGCTTAACATACATAAAGAAATGAGCCTAATTTACAAACTAAAAGACTATTTTACATTTTATTTTAATTTAAAGGACCGTTACGTATGAGTAATTTCAGAATGCTCCCATGTAATATCTACATATATTGATAAGGCATTTTAAACATAAAAAAATGTCGTTTTCAATAACGTGTAGCAGTAAGAGAAAAAATAATTCATTCATACCTGAATAGGGCTGATAATTTGTGCTGTTGGTTGGGATCCGATCATTGCTTGAGAAACCTGAACGCATTGTCCTTGCTGTTGGGGTGCCCCTGCGACAGCGTTACTCGTATTACCGACTTTTTGCATCACTTTCTGCCCCGTCATCACCTGAACAATGAAACCAAACACGTCATTCAATTACGCGATATGAACAATTTTTATGACTCGTAAACATTTATGAGGTTAATCGAACAACTAAATTATAGAAATAAACGAAACAATAATCAGGTCGGTGAGATAAGATAAAAAAAAGTTTACAACGAACTGACGATCGGAATTAGTACCATAATGTCTCGTAATCGCCCTGCAATCGGTAATTGTTTATGAGAAGACTACAAGGATACAACAGACCTATATTAATGAATGAAAAATGTCCAAACGATTTTGTAGGAGGTACTTGATCTATTTACCTTATGCATTTCTTGGGGTTTTTGTTGGGCTATTGTGTTGCCAGCTGCTGAATGTGATGGTAATATGTTTGGTTGAGTGCTTATAACTCCCAGTTGGCTAAAGACTAGTGTTTGTTGGTTCTGAGTAGTTGGGATCGTTGGAATGGTCGTATATCCCGGAAATGTCGCTGCAAAATAATATATTTTTTTTCATTTAAATCATCATAAGGTCGTCAGTCTTAAGACTGGTTGGACACGCACCACCTCCACTTGAGCTATCCTGAGCTAATCTTCGAATTTCCTTAAAACTAGAACATCTCACATCCTTACCTATTTGAGAACAGTAATCTAATCTAGGTGTACCTCTACTCCTCTTAACTCCTGTTTCTGCCTCTAATATGTGTCTGACTAGACCTTCATGCCTGAGAAGGTGTCCTATCAACCTATCTCGCCTATTTCTTATTTACTTGCATAGAGTCCTCTATTCTCCTATTCCATCTAACACTTCTTCGTTTCTAACCTTCTCTACCCACGTTATCCTCATCATCCGCCTGTAACACCACATTTCGAACGCTTTTAACCTTTCCTTTTCCGCAGCGCCCATCGTCCATGTTTCGCACCCGTACAGCGCCGCGCTCCAAATATACACCTTTCGAATTTTTAAATTAATCGTTCGCAAGCATAGAAGTGACTTCTTCTTATTGAAGGCGACTCGACCCTGCGCTATCCTCTGTCTATATCCCTACTACTCCTTCCGTCCTAATTTATCTGACTTCCTAGATACCTAAAATCAGCCACTTTTCTAATTTTTCGTCTCCTATCTTTACATTCGCTCTTTCCCTACTTTTTCTTCCCTTGCATACCGGTATTTTTATTTTCATATAGTACGGTTTTGTCAATACCGCTTCAATTTTATTTAAATTTCTCCTTGCTAATTTAAATAACTTTCGTAAAATTAGATATTAGACCAAATGAATTATCTGGATCTCTAGTCAAGTGCATCGCGATATCCTTCAGCTTCAAAAATCCCCACCGCATTCCCCTACACCCAATTCAGACAGGTCAGAAAGCGGCATTTGACGCAGCTAATGGAAAAATTATTTATTTTGTTTTAGTGAATGATCGTAAGATTGAATTAACATAACTCAACAACAAAGTGAATAATCATTTGCATCACGAGCCGCCACTGTATGCGTCTTATATATGAAAACTAAAAGGTCAGACTTACGTTCCCGTTAATCTATTTCTAATTATAAAGAAATTAATATAAAATAAACTCACCTCCCTGACTGGCTTGTAAAACTTGTTTTCCTTGAGCCGTAGTCAGCATATGAGGACCAATTTGGTTCCCTTGAAAAGGTTTTGTTATGACCTATGCAGGAAAATCGTTTTTAAGCTCCATGAAACTTAATAATAAGGAGAAAAAATACCTGTATTTGCTGAGGGTTAATACCAGGATGCAAGGCTATATTACCAGGCATAAGAAGTTGTCCTTGGGTGTTGTAAAGTTGTTGTAAATACGTAGGATTTTGTAATGGTTGTTGAATGACTTGTACCTTAAAAGATACGATGCATTTATGAAAGGATGTTTTCCGATTTTGATTGCAAATTTGAATGAAAATAGTAAAAATCGTTTTCACGAAATTAGTTCAAACGAATCATAAGGTAAAACTATCTACTTAGATACCATAAAAGAACGGCAAGTAATAAATTTTATCATTTCACTTACGTGAACATTGCAAATATAAGACACTTTTATTTTGCGATTAAAGATTGTTAATTAAATGATAACAAATAACAAAAATAACTCTCTGAGTTCAAGGATTTAACTTGCCCGATATACATGAATGATGTTTTCATCATATATGTAGAATTACTTCACTTTTTTCCTTATTCATTATTATCTGTCTTAGTGAAAAAAGAAATCTCAAGTATTTTCAATATGGTGTCCTTAAAATGAGTGACGAAAATTATCTGAAATATGTATAAACATACCGCACGTCCGTGACTCCAATCAGCACTAATTTGTTGGGGATGAGGAGTTTGGCCTTGCTGCAGGGGAGACATTGTAGTTATGGTGGTGTTTGCAGATTGGGCAGGTGTAAGAACTTGCCCTCCTTGAGCCTGGAGGACTTGACCCCCTTGCACTTGCTGATGCGAAACAGTATGCTGGGGAGGACCCATCGTCGAAGGCTGCTGAACACACTGCTGTGCTAAAATGAAAAATGATAAAATTTATTAAAAATACACGAGACAATAGGCAAAAAAACGCTAATGTTTACCAGAAGATGCGACAGCAACTTGTTGCAAATGTTGTGGGCTTTGAGCAGAAACCATTTGCTGATCTTGCTGCTGAAGAGTTACTTGTTGGATGGCTTGTTGCTGCTGTTGTTGCTGTTGCTGCTGCTGTTGTTGTTGCTGCTGTTGCTGTTGTTGTTGTTGTTGTACGGCCTGTTGTTGGGCTTGAGCTTGAGCCTGAGCCTGGGCCTGAGCCTGAGCCTGGGCTTGAGCCTGGGCGTTTGCATCAACCATCTGTAAGGAATATTGATCCCTTGACCAAAGAGACTACCACGCGTTATAAGAAAAATGGTAAAGTGTTTGACTAAACTAAAGTGAATATAAATCGTATTCGTATATTGTCAGTAACATTTTAGAAGTCATGATTAATTATTCTTTGCACAAACAATAGAGAAAACGGTAGAAAAAAGAAAGAGTGCGTATATAGGATTTGTAGATTTAGAAAAAGCTTTTGAGAATGTTAAATGGAACAAGATGATAAATATACTTAAAAATGTAGGGATGAGTTACAAAGATAGAAGAGTCATACATAGTTTGTATAAAGAGCAACAGGTAAATATAGAGCTAGGGATGCAACGTAGAGAAGTAAATATTAGGAAGTCAGACAGGGATGCACACTGTCACTGCTACTTTTTAATCTATACATCGAAGACGCGATTAACATCATTAAAGACAGTACAACTGTAGGGATAGATATACAGGCGTAAAAGATTAGTATGCTTAGATTTGCAGATGATATAGCAATATTAGCATCTAGCAAGAAGAAGTAAGAGATAGCTCTAAATAAAATGGAAGCGGTATTGATAAAAGAGTATAAATAAATAAAAATAGAACAAAAATAGTTGTATGCAAGGGAAGAAAAAGTAGGTAAAGAGCGAATATAAAGATAGCAGACGAAAAATTAGAAGATGTGGCAGATTTTAGGTATCTAGGAAGTCAGATAAGTCAGGACGGAAGGAGTAGTAGGAATATAAAGCAGAGGATAGAGCAGGGTCGAGTCGCCTTTAATAAAGAGAAGTGGGCGATGTACGGGTGCGAAATATGGACAGTGGGCGCGGCTGAAAAAAAAGGTTAGAAGCGTTCGAAATGTGATGTTACCGGCAATTGATGAGGATACCGTGGATGGAGAAGGTTAGAAATGAAGAAGTATTAATAAGAATAGGAGAACACAGGAACTACGGAAGTTAATAAGAAATAGGCGAGATAGGTTGGTAGGACACTTTCTCAGGCATGAACGTCTAGTCAGAGATATATCAGAGGCAGAAAGGGAAGTTAGGAGGGGTAGAGGTAGACCTAGATTAGATTACTCTTCGCAAATAGTTAAGGATGTGGCTGTTCTAGTTTTAGGGAAATGCGAAGATTATCTCAGGATGGGAAAGAGTGGAGGTACGTTTCCAACCAGTCTTAAGACTGACGACCTTATGATGATGATGAAAGAAAATTGTCCGTTAAAAATGCAAAGAACTTTCAAATGGATGAAATAAAGATTGGTAATAAAGTTGTATGTAACTATCTGTGAGTCCCTTTTTTCATTCGCTGTTTTGGCTACATTCTAATAGAATAAAGACTGTGCCTCTTTCTAACGAAAATAAAAAAAATTCACGTCTTAACACTAACAACAGGTCTTCTTTTATTTCATTGCATACCTGCTGCTGTTGAGTTTTTATCTCGCTCATATTGTTGCCGTTACTCGTCGTATGATATTCTTGTTTGATTAAATTATTGTCGTGACCTCTGTCGAGATTTAGAAGTGTGTTGGCGATATCATATTTGCAATCGTCGGCGGTAATGTCGTGTATGCCAGCCTTTTGGGCCAATGTTTCTAGACACTGCAACGACCTGCTGCCTTGTTGTTGTTGTTGGTTCGAGTTATCGGGGGTGTCCCTTTGCGTTGACTCTGGTTCTTGATGGTTCTGATGGTCTTCTTCGTTATTATTGTTCAGTCGATTTTGTTTGGAATCGCTTGTCGAATTAGCGTTTGAATTTATTTCTTTCAGAGGTTGTTTCTGATGGTGGTGGTGCTGTTGTTGCTGCTGACTGTCCACTTGTTGGAGACTGTCGTAATGTTGAGATCTGTAAAAAGGAATAGGAATCTTTCTTTCTTGCCCTATGTTGCGATACAATAATAAAAAGATGCTCATTGAAATAATTTATTGTGATTTTCAGAAAGAATTATCTAGGAGTAATTTATTGAGGATAGATGATGGCCCCCACCGCCTTTGGGGTTGGGGGTTGGGGGGGGGGTCGAAAGAGGAGGTCTCCCCCACCACTGTACCATAAAAAGTTCGTGGCGGTCTCACCCCCATAAAAAGTTATGGGGGTTCAAAGTTAATAAATATGCCAATTTTTATACATTTCTAGGCATGTAAATATTTATATAGTCATTCTTAAACAATATTCAAAGGTAAAACTAATGAAAAATACATAAAAATATTGAGAAAGTTATATAAAACATTATTTAAATATCTTTATCAACAGGGTAGGTTAGGTTAGGTTAGATTATCGGGTTTTGTTTAAGTGACCACCCTCTTTCGATCCCCCACCTCCACCAGCTTGAAAATAATTTTTTTATTGAATTTTATTTGAATTACAGTATGAAAATTGTCAAAATAATCAACTTTCAAACTTTTTATGGGGGTGAGACCGACGCAAATTTTTTATTTGGTTTTACTCAAGTGACCAGCCTCTTTCGATCCTCCCTATCCTCACCCCTTTCGTGGGTGGGGGGCATCATCTAACCCCCATAACTTTTTATGGGGGTGAGACCGCCACGAACTTATTATGGTACCTACAGTGGTGGGGGAGACCCCCCTTTCGATCCCTTCGGGGATGGGGGCCATCATCTAGACATTTACCTTATTGAAGATTGAATTACGTACAATCCATCGAATACCTACTTGAATTTTTTCTATTTTTTTTTGTGTTAGGTCACTAAAAACTTTTCTAGTTAAAGACAGAAACAAGCTTGTATGTTAACAAGCACTTTTTATAAATTCGCAAAATACCCTTTTTGTTATTATCATTTTACGTTTGAAAAACATTTTGATACCTAAACAAACAACAATGTTATCCTGAAAAAATATATTTAGCAAAAGTCGTATCACATTATATTCAAATTTGCTTGGAGTGAATTCGGGTTCACAACATAAATAGAAAAGCAGAGTAGTCGGCCCCAGGCGTGTAACTTGATTTTCCTTTTGACGCGAAGGGATTTCTTTGATTAAATTTTTCGGGATGTAATCTGGATGACCGAAGGGGCAAAGAATATCTTCTCTTTTGACTTTGTTATTCGGTTTCATTTAGGACAAACAATTGTCAGTGTGTTTCTCTTTTTAGTCAAAAACAGAGACAAGACAACCAGACATTAAATGGATTAATTTTCAATGTATAAAGCAAATTACAAAAGCTACACAAAATGTTATGAGTTACAGTTATTTGTCATTATGATAATATACTTAATTATACCATTATAACTGGGGGATAAAATTATAATTCACATGCTGCTACACACTGTGTAAAAAATAAGAAAAGCGGCTGATACCTACGCAAACCGGATACGTTACAATTAAAATGCGGGTGTAAGGTTAACTTGAAGTGCTTCCTTCCTTTAAAAGTAATGTATTGTAAGAGACAATGAGTTGCACAGCTTCCTTTTGTTGTAAAAGAGTAACAAAAAGTATGATGGCGAAAATATTCCACAGAATACCATACATATTGTATATCTTGTACTTAAAAATATACACAGGGCTCCAAATTGCAATCTAGTTTCATAAATAGATATAAAAAAACAAAAGCGTCAGTTCTGTTTCATAAAATACGTCCAGTTTATCGCCTACAGCGCGGTGTTTCAGCTTTGCCAATGTCACATCCTTACTTTTGAAACGAATCCGGTTTTGACGCCAAATCTAAGTCCGACCTTACTTCATATATGTATTATGTTCCCTAAATCTCTTTCAAACGAGGAGTGGCGAGAGAGAAGATTCATGGTCCCAGCAACAGAGATCATTATAAATACCTTTGGCAAATACTGACTAAACTTAACTCTTTTCACTAATACATCTAAAAATCGCCATTTTTTGTGGCTTTAGTTGGTTGTTGGGGAGTATTGCAAAAATTTCCAATATGTCGTGTGGGAACGTAGAACCTAAGAGATATATAAAAACCGAAATAGTACTCGCGTGTACTCATTTATTTCGGTTTTTCTGTGTTAACTTAGTGTCTTGTTTTAAAATGCCTAAATATTTTATCGCTGTAATTGTTGTGAAGCTCAGAAAACATTAACTGATATTAATAGGAATCTGCTAAATATGGAAATATTAGAACGTTTAATATCAAAAAATTCCCGTTTGTTGTTATATTGCTGAGTTTACGACAAATGTTAATAGAAGGTAAAATCATCGAAAAATTCTATGGAATCGATAAATCAAGAGAAAGTTTTAGAAGATTTAGGACAGAGCAGTCATTTATTTTCACTTTTGATGACAACGATTATAACAAGTGTCCAGATATAATACTCTCCAACACAGTGAAAACCACACCAAAATCCACCCGGTCATCTTGAGTTTTACAAGAAGAGACAGACAGGCCTTTGCCTTGCTGTAACTTATTCATTTTAATACATACGTCACTTAATTTTTTACAGAAAATCTGCTATTTCTTAAATAAAATTTTATTTCGATACATTAGCTAATATGTAGAATAATTTAGGAAGTAATAAAAATAAAAATGCACCCGACAAAAATTAAATCTTTCCAGAGATAGCAGTTGAAGAAGTCATCACTGTTTTAACTAAAGCCGCTGATGTGTAGAAAATGGCTCTGGTCGTCTTTGTATAGCTTTTGGATTTTATGTTACATTCTACAACCAGTCCGTCATAAATTTAGAATTTTACTGCACCCAAAGCTTTGTCGGCAACAACTCGGTTTCCTCATTTCGAGGCAAAAATTGGAAAAATAAACGACCCAGTGTACATTTTCAAATGGATTTATTGCACGCGATCTAATGTTTGCATTAACGATTATTACCTCCAGCCAGTTATCGTTCCCTTGTTACTTACTTTATTTCTGTGGTAATAAAGTAAAAAATTCAACAAACAAACTTAGGCAATTCTAAATGAAGTAATTCACCCTTTTGGTATTCTGAAAGTCAACAGCTTTCAAATAGAAAACGAAAAATTTACTAAGACTAAAGAACACAATTTTATTAAAACAATTCTTTAATATTATGATGTTTTGTACCGTCCATGTATAAGCATGTTTTACATCATACAATTTATGAATATTCAAAATTAAACTTACTTAAGAGATACTTTAATTTTCTTATTTCTGAATTTAAAAATAACAAAACAAAATACTTATTACGTAAAACATCCATCACATCTGTTTTTGAGTGCGTAATTAATAAAAGAAATCATTTTTAAAGTACCTTCATCAATTTTCTAAAATGTAAGATACTATAAAATTAAGATATATAACACCAATAATAAGAATTATGAACAGTGTCCCAATAACGAAACCAAATAAGAAAATATTGAGAACCTCAACCAATAAGTACAGAACATGTACAAATTAATATACTTTCGTTTCTTTGAAATTCTTAAGAATATATCGTTCCCTTAAACATCTGTTCTGTTCAGTTTTATTACAATAATAAGGAACATGAAATTTGCATTTCAAAAGAAGATACTCCTCATCCCACTTCTGCAAAGATATCTGAGACTAAACATATTAAAAAAATAAGCGACAAACAAAAAAAACAGCTATTTTTAATAAATCGATCAAAAGGGAAATTTAATTTTTACACAAATATTTTAAAGTAGTCTCGCATTTAATATTAATCATTTTATACATAATATTGACTCTTGTACTATTGCAAATTGTCTGCAATTTGATAGTTCTTCTATTTGATAACCAAATATTTCGGAGGAAAATTGCAGACTGGAAAATATTGTTAAAAATTATTGATTTTTTTCTGCAAATTGAACATTTTTTCAATTTTCTTTATACATTCATGCCAGTCATGTTACTCAATATGTTGTATTATAAAGTTTAAATTAATGTTAACTTTTAAATGTGTATTAATGCATCAATTATTATCCATGTACATTATTCTGTAGCTTTTGCTGTAAATATGTCCCCTATCGTTAGTAGACTGTTAAAAATATTGGTTTTTTTTCTAACGCTATCTAAGAGCCTAAAATATCTAATGAATTTCTTTCCAAACTTTACTTATGTTAGTTAATATCAGTTTTTTTGGTGTCACATATCCACAACGCACAGGTAAACCAAGGCAGATATACATGGTGTAGAAAAATTACTCAGGAACTTGCAAAAATCACTAAAAACAACGTTTTACATATTATTTTCAGTTTCATCAACGCACCAAGGGCAATGGGCAAGTTCGATAAATTGTAGACTAAACCGAAGAACCTCCTATAGAGCGGGTTAATATAATATCAACAAACACAGTGTATCACCACCTAGTAGAAATTTGCTGCTACTAAAGTATTTCAAGCATTACAGGAGCCTTTTACTAAGATTTTTCAACTTATATCACTGAATAGACAACGCAACTTCATATGTGAGACAGGTATATTAAGATCGTAGTCGAAATTATTTCACTAGATGGCGATCCACTGCCTATATGAGGATTTTATACCAACTCGCTTTTTGGGAGATTCTTCGGGGTCATCGCTAATTCCATATCGCAGTGATGGACTCACAGTCAGAATTGCGATTAACGTCTGAACGAATAGTGGTTTTTATAAGTTTTTCTGGACCAAAAACTTCAACGTTCTTTCTAGGGACAATATTCGTTCGATAGGGAGTTAGGGGTAGGTGAGCGGTTAGTTATAATTTTAACTTAAATTTATCTAAATTAAGGTTGTTCTGTTGAAACAAGTAATTAGTAAATTCCATAGTCCAAAATGGGGATGGTGATTCTTCTCGAAAAAGACTGATTTTTAAATCGATTCGAATCGTAATCTGATAATCAATTCACAAAAAGATCGATGTCTCAAAAATCGATTCTTTTTAGTACATTTACAATATAAATATACTTAAATCCATTTTATG